GCCGGATAGTGGTCAAAGGCAAGGTGGTGGGGCCCAACAGGACGGACAGCCTGATAACGACCGCGACGAAAATGGATGCCTTGAGTGGACAGATGATCTCAGGGACGACCTTCTGCAGTGCTTCGAGAGCAGCGATCCATGGCATAGGGAATACATGAGGCGGATGCATGCTCTGTGGATTGAGCAACACCCAGAGCATGGAGCATTAACCGCTCAAAGTCTGCGGGATTATGTATCTCACCTACGCGCTAGACAATACGTGAGAGTCCTTTCTCGGCAGGAAGATGGTGTAGAGGAACAACACGCTCCACCCATTCTGCTTGACAACGAGAGAAGGGACCGTGTGCTTCCTTAGGTGAGCGAAATCAGGAACCGCAGGAGCCTACTCAACATAAAGGCCCTGCGGCCCCAAGACCTTGCAAGGATGGATGAATCACTTCGAAAAACACTTCCAGAAGGGGCTGACATCTGACACATTAACTGTATACCGGAGAGACCTATAAACCGACTGAGAGGGCCGATCGGCGTGTACGACAGATGGAAACCAAGATCCAGTCCCCTGATGGATGAAGTGAGTGCCAACAGACCATTCACGTCGAAGGTGCGACGGATGGCCAATACATTGCGTCGCACCCATCACACACTCAATGAGGCAGTGCTATCCACCATCAAACAGCACTGATTCGAAAGGATACGGATGTTAGTGGCTGCAAAACAGTCACTAAAGAGGCGAGCGATAAGGTGGAAACCTTTTGGAAGAGTATTTATGAGGTGGGACATCCATTCAACAGAGATACTCCAGCCCTGGCGCAGTTCGGTACCTTCTGCGAATGATACCGAGAGCCTGAGCCCGAATTACTGTGCCAACCGATAACCACTGAGGAGGTTCGAGAAGCTCTCAAAGGCTCCAAGAACTTCGTTGCTCCTGGTACCGACGGGATCAAATAACTTTGCTGGAGAAAGTTTTCCCCTATCCACCCCTATTTAACCAGGATATTTGATAGCTGGCTAAATGAGGAGCAGCAAATCCTTAAGTGGATTATCGAGGAGCGAACCGTGCTTCTCCCCAAGACTGGAGATTTGTCCAATCTAGAGAATTACAGACCAATTACCTGGCTGAATGCATGTTACAAGTTGTTCACACGCATCTTGTACATGCGAGTACTCCTAGTAGTTGATGCGGTTTACCAGCGAATTTTCGGGCAGCGTGGGTTAAAGGGAGGCCTCGCTGGCTGCAAGGAGAACCTGTTGATAGATAGATCTATTACACAGGACTCCGTGCAGTACAAGCGGAATCTTTCTGTGGCCTGGATCGATTATCGAAAGGCATTTAACACAATGTCTCATGAGTTACTCGTGTACTTGCTCAAGTGTCTTTCGGTACCCGATTCTATAGTGAGATGCATAGAACAACTGATGCTGGTCTGGAAGACCCGCTTCACCATAAGATCAGGTAATGCGAGAGTCCAAACAGAGCCAGTCATCATAAGGAGAGGAGTATTTCAAGGGGACTTCCTTAGCCCTCTCCTATTCTCCATCTCACTTCTGCCACCATCCGTTGAGCTCAGAAAAATCAGGGGATACAACTGCGGCCCACCCAGTTACCGGAGGCATAATGTCACCCACTTATTCTATTTGGATGACCTCAAACTTTTTACCTCTGGTGAGAGGGATATGGACCAATCCCTCAGGGTGGTGGAGGAGTACACGCGGGCAATTGGAATGGAATTCGGGATGGACAAATGTGCACTAGTTCATCTCAAGAGAGGACGATGCGAGAACTACGACAAGGACGCGCAACTCGTGGACGGAAGCATCCTACACCACCTGTATGTCGGAGAGACGTACAGGGTGATTGACTATGGATTTCTCGACTTCAACAGCTGATATCTCGAAAACGAAAAAAGATATTTGAAATTTGGAAGAAGGTATTCGAATGAGATGTCATTTCCTTCTAGAAAATGTGTTCTCTGCTTGATTTTATCATTTCATATACAGGGTTCGTGAAAAAAAAAAATTTTTTCAAATGGAACCCCCTGTATATTATCGCATATTTCGAAAGAGCTATCTTTCCTGATTTCGAAGATATATACGTTTCATATATTCTATCGAGGGCTTGACGAAATATCAGCAAAATTAAATATTAATATTTGGTCCAAAAGTTAGCTATGGTTGAAATAGAATGAGATGATGAATAAGTGAATTGACATTTGGCCAACATTCCAGTGACATAAGTGCGCAAAATTTCGACAATTTTCTTACGATGCCATATCCACTGGAACAAAGAAGAGATATTTTGGAGTGCAATTTTTCAGTTAATAAAAATCTTGCTGAAACACTTACACTTATACTTACTTGAATTTACGAATTAAATATTGTAAAGTTTCGGAGCATCGGCTGGGGATAGTCCTGCACGATTCGCTGTTGCGTTCCAATTAACAGTGCTGCTCCTAAAGTGGCGCATGGAGTTAGTAACAAAGCCTACACAGAACACGCAGAAAGATATGATGATGTGGTTGTGAGCATCAGAGAAGAAGTAGGACGGTGTATGTAGGTGGGTGTGGAAAACTACCAGCTGAGCGTGAGAGCGGGCCAGCTGCTTAAGTAGACCTCGGTCTCGGGGGTTAACGATGATAGTTAGCAGGCCTGCCACTGCGCATATGGTAGTGAGTACATTACTAGCCTACGTGTATGTAGGTGGGTGTGGAAAACTACCAGCTGAGCGTGAGAGCGGGCCAGCTGCTTAAGTAGACCTCGGTCTCGGGGGTTAACGATGATAGTTAGCAGGCCTGCCACTGCGCATATGGTAGTGAGTACATTACTAGCCTACAAAACACAGCTGAAAAACTCTGAAAAGAGAGCTGATGGGCGGTGCCTGAAAAGGATGTTAGCCAGCTCTCTTGAGCGAACCACATCAGTCATTGAAAAACACTTGGGGTTGGCAAAAAGGTCCCATTGGGGACTAGTTGCTGACGTGGAAACGTCCCCCACCAGTACCAGTACTTGAATTTAATCTTTCAGATATGACAAGACAAAATTCAATCCGCTTATCATTATCATCATAATTGAGTTTGTGGCGCATGGTCTAATTCTGAAATCCCTATATTTATATTTTTTTATGGTATGTTGAACAAAACAATAGCTGAAACCAAACTCTCTCACTGCATTTCTTATTGACCGTGAAGGATCCTCAACAAAATACTGGATTACAAGAAGTTCCTCGTCTTCGTTGTCTTGCCTTCTCACTATTTTCTTGATATTCTAAAAACTGAAAGTTCGGTCAAATTTAGCAGCCAAATACTTTACATAATTCTTACTTGGTAATCTCCTGCCTGGATAACTCCTCATAAACTTACGAAGTGTTTCAGCAAGATTTTTATCAACTGAAAAATAGCACTCCAAAATATCTCTTCTTTGTTCCAGTGGATATGACATCGTTAAAAAATTGTCGAAATTTCGCGCACTTATGTCACTGGAATGTTGACCAAATGTCATTTCACTTATTCATCATCTCATTCTATTTCAACCATAGCTAACTTGGACCAAATATTAATATTTAATTTTGCTGATATTTCGTCAAGCACTCGATAGAATATATGGAAAGTATATATTTTCAAAATCAGGAAAGATAGCTCTTTCGAAATATGCGATAATATACAGGGGGTTCCATTTGGAAAAAAAAAAGTTTTTCACATACCCTGTATATGAAATGATAAAATCAAGCAGAGAACACATTTTCCAGAAGGAAATGACATCTAATTCAAGTAACTTCTTCCAAATTTCAAATATCTTTTTTCGTTTTCGAGATATCAGCTGTTGAAGTCGAGAAATCCATAGTCAATCACCCTGTACACGTACCTGGGTGTAGAGGAAACTCGCATCCAGGAGGCACAACGGGTGAAAGACGCTCTCCGCAGCAAGTATCGGCAGCGGCTCCGACAAATCTGGTCGTCAGAACTGTCGGGCAAGAACAAAGTCGCTGCGACTAACATGCTTGCTGTTCCGATCCGACTTTACTCATTTTTGGAATGATAAAGTGGATTCAAGTCGAGCTGCGACAACTTGACGTAAGTACTCGATAGTTGATGAATCTCCATAGGAGTCTGCATCCAAATTCGTCCGTTCTACGGTTATACATGTTGGAGAATCAATCATCATCCTTGTGCAATTATATTCATGAGCTCCCTATATGTTGTCTATTTGTTATAGATAGGAATTGAGTAGTTGTCAATATATCAAATTAGGATAACGTCAATTGTAAAACTTTTTAGTTGAATAATAGTACATCACGTAATATGTGTTGTAAGAAGCAAATTAACATTGTAATTTGTTCACAATACGCATTACGTACCCAAGTACCTACCTACTGCGATATAGTACATCAAAAAAGTTTGGCCTAACAGTCTGAATCATAATTCTTGACAGTTACGTCATCCGCTGTTGACGGCGATTACGCGATCATGACATACCTATACTAACGGAATAAACCAAAACTGTGCGATGTGCTTACTGTGCGTGAAGAGCTACTTACTGAGGCTGTATCTCGTATGTTCTTGCCTACTTTTCATAGTGGCCGTAGGTGAATGTTTTAAATGCATGAGTTCTTGTCTTTTTATCAAGGTGAGGTAATTTTTCAGAGAACAATACATGTAATTTCCATAGTACCTAGCTGATGACAAGTAATTAAGTCACTATGATGACAAGTGAATATGTCACTAATGACATGTGATTAGGTCACTAATGACGAGTGAGCAAGTCTTTAGTGACAAGTAAATGAGTCACTAATCACAAATTGACGAGTCACTGATGACAAGTGAATAAGTCGCTAATGATAAGTGATGTGTTCACTAACGCTCATCAAGTTCTTACTCGTCATATTGAATATTCACTTAGGGTAAGTGATTGTTTTTCTTCGTGTGCAGACCAGACTACGACTAAAACATAAATTGCTCAATGTCAGTTCATAGCAACTTGAATTTGCAAAGAGAGAATGAATTAAATTCTAATGAAATGAGGAATGTATATATGTAATACTGTATATAAAAATATTTATCTATCACAAATCATCAGTATAGGTATTCAAAAATTGTGATCCCAATTCGAGAGTTCATCTGGAGGAACGTCATCGTCTTTGTCGAAGGTATCAAAGTTGGAAGTGTCACAAGGACTGATGACAGGGTGATGAATAGGTGGGGGGAGTGTTCTAGCTACTAGTCCGTCCCAGTCGAAGCCTTGAAACCACCTGAAACAAACATCCAATAATATAGAATTTCAAGCATCTTCAGGAGAAGATTGAAACTGAATATCCTATTCTAGAATCTATAAACTACATATAATGAACACCAACATTTGAAGATTCAGTCCAGCATGCATAAAAATGTTTCTGGTTTTGGAGATACAAGATGTACAGGGGAAAAATTTTATGTTGAAACTCAATGACTTGATCGAACATTATTCACTCTGACATTTTGTTTGTTTTTCGTATTACGCGGCGTCGGTAGATTTGAAGTTCCCTTTGAAGTGAGTGCAGGTGCGACACGTGACTCTGCATTTGTTTTTGAATAAACTATAGTAATTGTCATTATTGATTACTATCTCCATTCTCAGTGTCATTTCGATAACTTCATATAATTATTAAAAAGTGAAACACAGATCTCTTTATGCACTAGCGGGCCGTGAAGTGCACTTGACCGCCCGGTTTTGCGGGCGTTAAGTCGCACTTTACCGCCCGCGGGCTCATTATGGCCCACGGGCCATAAAGTACACTTTACCGCCCGCTGTTCTCAGTCACCTTATATCCACATATCAATTTATGAAAAACCCATGATCATATTCCTAGATTCTGATATATCCAGCGGTATATCATAAACTTCTTCTTCATCCGATTCCATAGTCTCGCTATTATCATTATCACTAATTTTACTTTTCAATCAAAGAATGACAATTCAGCTCGTCTATTGGATGTATTGCTATAGACAACAACCATCAGATTGATTGACAACGTCAAAACAAGTTAGGTTTATGTACTGGGTATGCATATTGTAAAATTCTGAAGAGAGAATCTCTTCTAGAGCTGAAAGAGTTTCACTATTACGATAATTGCAATATTCGTACGATAATTTTCATATCTAAATCATCCATGAACATTACGATTCTCTTGATTACTGAATTTATACGTAACAAATTAAATTCTGGGGAATATTAGTTTATCGAGATCTATAGTCATCACTTATGAGTCAGAAAATAAATCACTAGTGCATAAAATTTTGTATGTATCTCGTGCGTGAAATGCGTTTATGGCCTTCAGCGTGTAATGGCCCTCGGCTAGCGCCATCGGGCCATTATTCACGCCACAGGCCATAAACGCATACTTTACGCCCTTGATACATAAATGACTATTAAGAGCGAATAAAGTAGAATCCGTTAGAACGAGGCAATTTGAAAAGGGGCATTAAAAGCGCTTTCAGATTAACAACTGATTTCAACCATTGAGTATTCAATGGACAAAGAGGATATGATGTTATTTACTGAAGTAACAGAGTGATTCTAGCGCCCTCTATGAGCAATCACTAAATGAATTCCAAGTTCATATTTCTCATGTCAAAAAACCTGAAACTAGACGAAATATTATGTTCATGCTGTTGAAACTTACGAGAGTAATTGAGAAATTTCAGAATAAAATAATACAAAATATTCATTATACAGGACGTTGATCAAAATTCTGAATTGAGAAAACCTTATCACAGATCTGCGATTGAAGGTCAATAAAAATAACAAGTTTTCATCTTTCGAATATCATCGAATAAATTATGAACATGAAAAAATGGATGTATACAGGGTGTCTGTAAAAGGTTGGGACATGACTCGGCTGTGGACTCCTGGGATAAAAACAAGTTGATTTAGGCCAACTCACCGAAATCTTCTCGTTGAGTTGGTACAAGGCGTTGAAGTTTTTTCGCGAAAAAAAAAATGATTTCGTTCATAAAAAGAGTAGGCTGAGATCGATTTTCATAATTCTTGGCATGGCATGTTCTGTGACTGTAAGTCACGTTTTGGAATGTTTTCGATCATCATCAGTGACCTGCAAGTGTTTCCGTACAAAAGTGATAACTTTTCAGAGGTCGGACTGGAAACTTCCAGTTTTTTTTGCATTGTGTTGATTTTTGATAAGTCTCGAGGTTCATTTGCAAATAAATAATTTCTGATCTGGGGCATCTTAAGCATTTTTTAGAAAAATAATCTGGTTGGGGCAGTGCTTCACTGTAGACTCCTGGGATGCAAATAAGTTGATTTAGCCAACTTACCTATGTCCAAAATCTTTTTTTGAGTTGGTACAAGGCGTTAAAGTGCTCACCTTAGGTTCTGAATTATAGTTATCGCTATATTTGTAACGCGAGAGTTCTTGTAAAGCCCGTGAGGACCAGCACCATATCAGTTTGTTAACAATAAGAATACATCGTAGCCATGATCAATGAACAGTCCGACTAATTGGATGAATCTTCAAAAATGCGCAGGATGCATCATATCAGAAATTATTCATTTGCAAATGAACCTCGAGACTTATCAGAAATTAAAACAATACAAAAAATATTTCTGAAGGGAATATCTTTCCGGAAAAAAACTGGAAGTTTCCAGTCTGACATCTGAAAAGTTATCACCAAATTTGTACCGCAACACGGTTGTTTGAAACACTTGCAGGTCACTGATGATGATCAAAAACAACTCAAAACGTGATTTACAGTCACAGAACATGCCATGCCAAAAATTATCGAAATCGATCTCAGCCTATTCTTTTTATGAGCAAAATTATTTTTTCCTAAAAAACTTCAACGCCTTGTACCAACTCAACGAGGCGATTTTGTATATAGGTAAGTTGGCCTAAATCAACTTTTTTTTATCCCAGGACTCCACAGCCTAGCCATGTCCCAACCATTTACAGACACCCTGTATATATAAAGAAATGAATTGAGAATTCGCATTCTCTATCTGATGAAAATATCAATTCTTGTCCGGTTTATTCAACAGGAAGTAACTACTTTCAAACAAACAAAAACAAAGTGTTGAAAAGACATATGCTCAGATAAATTATGAACATACAAAAATGGATATATATCTATAAAAGCAATACATTGAGAATTCGCATTTTCTATGTGATGAAAATATTTACTCTTTTTCAGTTTCTTCAATAGACAACACCTACTTTCCTGGCTATATACCACGACGAACATTGAATTATATCTATTGAACACACACGATAAGAGTTTGAAAATAAAATATGAAAACTTCTGAAATTGAGAATTTGCATTCTCCTTCAGATGAAAATATGTATATTCACATAGGTAATATCATTTTGAATATTCAAAAAAAAAAACAACTGCTCTCCTGGCTATTTGTCACATTGAACATTGAAATAAAACTGTTGAACATCCAAAAGGAGAGCATGAAAAATAAAAATCCTCTGAAATTGAGAATTGAAGTGAAAGTCACCAATATTCAGTCTGACACAAGTAGTCCATGTGAAGAAATACCCAACCATCAGAGTATAATACATGCTTCACCTGTGTTTCCTGATGTCTTGTATTCCCCCCCTCTGGCATCCCAGCCTCTCTGAGGGACAATGACTGCACAGCCGTTTGATCAGACTCTGAGCTGTCCTGCCAACGTTGTGCTTCGCAAAGTCTATCATATCGATTCCCTTCAAGATCAGGTTATACGTTTTCATTGGATCATCTGCGGTGAAGGGAGGACTGAAATGAGAAAAGAAGTTGATACACTAGCTCTGCTGGATACACAAAACAGTAGCTACATCAGAAAATGAATTGTTTGGAGTTTCACATAATTATTGAAAACTCATATCCAGTATACCGTAAACTAGAGTGAATCTTTAAACACGGATTTTTTTGCTATGCAGTGACTTTGCATAAATACTGTTTTTCATATAGCTCACTAAAAGTGGAAACGAACAGTGTGGCAATATTCCCGCTTGCTCACGTGATTTTTGTTTGGTCTATAATATAATGTATGAATGATTATTTTCTCTGTATATGATTTCAATCCAATCAGAAAGTTCAATTGAGTTAAGCTACCTTGTATAATTTCGAATATACATGTATACAGGGTGTTTCCTAACTACGGTTCCTAACTGTAGGGGGTGATTTGTTAGGTCATTTTTAGAAGAAAAGTTCCTATGAACATATGTCCGGAGTTGCTTTGTTTCTGAGATACAGGGCGTTGAAAAAATAAAGAAAAAAAAACGGTAATTATAAAATATCATGAGTATCCTGGAACCGAATTGGTTGAAATTTGGTACTTTCATTTGTCAAATTCTTTAAAATTTCAGCATATCAAGTGTCAATTACATTTTTGGCGGAAATAATGAAAAACTCATTTCTCCAATGCAGGTGTTCATGATATGCAATACAGTGGCTTTCATTTTTTTTCTCGGAAACGAAGCTGAATATGAAGAAAATACAAGGGACCAAAAAGTTGTATTTTGAGTTGCTCAATCTGAAAAAAATAAGAGTTTACCAAGAAAACTCAGTGGCGTACTTTTTTTCACAATATTGTTGGCTGTGGTGCCCACTGAGACGCCACTAGCCCCAATAATTCCAATCTAAATAGGGCTAAATAAGCGCCTTATTAGTTCAAATAAAAGTACCAAATTTCAACCGAATCGGTTCCAGGATATTCATGATATTTTCTAATTGTCATTTTTTTTCTTCAATTTCATCGCCCTGTATCTCAGAAACGAAGCAACTCCGGACATATGTTCATAGGAACTTTTCTTCCTTAAATGACCTAACGAATCACCACCTGCAGTTAGGAACCGTAGTTAGGGAACACCCTGTATACATAGTAACCAATTCATATTGTAACATACAAACAAAGCGCGTCGTGAAATTTTGACGTTCGTCCAGCGAACCACTAAAAAAATAATCGCATCCAATATAGTTCAAACTTCAAACTATGCATTGTTATACTACTCAAACTTCCTGCATAATTACAATCATAATAACACACGGTATCCAGAGGACATCCATTTTATATCCATTTCAAGTCCAAGACATCTATGGACTTCAAATGGAACTGTCTTTTAATGATGTACATCGTTGTATATCCAGCTGATGTTCAAGTGTGTACTCCATCTGGAAGCCTATTCATGTCCATGGAAGCACATCAAATATATCCACTAGGATCTCTATACCGGTTACTTGGCAATAAATATTGGACATCCATAAGTATATTGTCTGGATGTCCATTGTAGCGATGAATTTTGAGAGAAGTAAAATGAGGAGAAAAAAATCTGAATTTATTTGTCAGAAGTCAAAATGAAGATATGTTATGCTCATCTCATTTATTTGTTTTGGTGGGCTTTCTTGATCATTTACAGTATTTTATAGTTGAATTATGTCTCAGTTTCCAGCTTTATACGACCTTTACGACGTTACAAGTAAGTTCCTATTATTTCTGTGTCTATCCAGGTATTGCCAATTGCGAATTGTTACAATAACATAACATATTTCTTGGGTAGGTAGGTGAAACACCCTTCACCAAAATTAACAGAAGAAAAAGGATTCGAAACAGGTTCTTCCGAGGTATAGGTATCTACAATGAAATAGCGAAAATTATATCGGATGTTGACAAACTCTGTATACCACAACAGATGATGTATGGGCAGGAATTATTGACAATTTCGCAGTTTAGGGAATTTTCATCTTGAGTCCAATGATCTCGCCTCATCGACTAAAACTGACAATAATTATGGAACACCTTATTCATAACAGGTTACTCATGCATGATGGGGCTCCACCACATCTCACTCTGAATGTCCACTGTTGTTTGAATCAACAGTTTCCGAATAAGAAAAAGACTACCATTTTTTATAGGGAGCAGTACCCATAGAGTTTAAGGTGTACTTTGAACCAGTGAATACTGAACAGGAATTATGGAGATGGATTATTTTCAAAGATGATGCATTAATCATGCAAAATATCCATTGCAGTTTTTGTACCAGTGCAATGGACCACTTCTTTTCTAATTTGTCATCATCTCCAGTAGGTATTATCTATTCTTTACATTAGTTCCATCCATGAACTATGTTTGAAATGATAATAAAATGCATCAACCTGTCTTTTGAATACATATAGGTAGGTATACCGAGTGTCAACAAATCTATTAGACAAGTCATAACTTCTAGACCATGAGGTGTATCGAAATGAGATTTGGTATAGGTAAATGGTATGTGAAGAGGAGTTTTTTCACATATTTTTCACTTCTCGGTCACTTCCGGTTTCCCCGGAAATGGCTCCAGTACTAAATTTTCAAATGGAACACCCTGTATATTGTAACATTCTTGGATTTCTGAGACAATTCTAGATCAGAATGTGACATTTTCGAAAGTTTTAATGCCTACTTAATTTTTTCTGAGTCACTTTTGAAATTACATCTATAGGTGGCCATGATCGGAAGTAAACTAATCTAAGGACCTCAGGTGATATCAGAAAATTACAATCGCGAAGTTTTAGTGACACATATGATAGATATGAATAGGACAAGTAAGCATAATTACATTTTCGTGTCTAACTATTATTTTTCAAATGGCAACCGTTTTTTGACAAGTACTTTCCGAAAAAAGGATATTTTGACGAATCTAACGATACTAACTTATTTGCGATTGGATTACAAATAAGAAGATGAATTGAATATTACTGACGAAAATACTTCAAAATGATTCATTTACTTTCGTCAGGTGTGCCGAGGATAGGTATGATGCATAAAATTTTGCAGTTATTTCGATCAATTCTTCTTAGGAGAACAAAACACTCACTCAGGTTATGACAGTGACATAAGCTTCAAGAGCAGAAGGTAAAATTTTCTTTATTTTCATCAAATTTTTGTTTAATTTTCCGTCAGAATAATGTATAATCCAAGTGAAAAAGTGGATATGTTGTTATTGTTTGGAGAATGTCTAAGAAATTCATGGAATGCTGCTGAGGCTGAGTTGTATGCTCAGAGATATCCCAATCGGCAACATCCATCCCTAATAACACGATAACATCTGTAAGACGTCGTAGAAACATCCATATGGGATGATAGGAACATCTCTGGAAAATTCCTATTTTCCTTGGGACATTCTTGTGATGTTGCTGGCAACACCCGTGTCAGCATTTGCGATGTCTTATAAACATCCCATCAGAATATTTGTGGGATGATACGGGATGTACCAGAGACATTCAGGGTACTTGATATGGAACATCTTTAAAAAAACTTGTATATAGGATGTTTTTTGTCTGATGACAATAATGGATGAACACGGTATGAATTATTTTCAATCTGAAATCCTGAAAATAGCCGACCTATTTCCAGATATCGAGTTAAAATCCGAATCCGAAAATATAAGGTCGGTGCGGTCCAATAACTAATGGAAGATGATAAGAGTTGTTTGAGGCTCATATTTGTTGACGCTGGGCCGACGGCTGTTAGTAACTCTTAGCAACGTAGTTGTACCGCCATCTATCGGCTGGTATAACAAATAAATTCAGCAATAAAGATGCTGAAGAGATATATTTTGATTTTGTCGTTCATTACATGGTTCATGAAGTTGAGCAGGTACTTTTGGTAATCTTATTGAGAAATATTAAGTATAATTATTTCAATTTGTTATCGATGAAATTAGCTGGCTTTGGTATAGGTATAATACAGTTTTGATTTCCATTTTTTATTATCTTTTCAATGTTTCAAATGTCACAATTGTTTGAACTGTTCAATCATGTTAATCATCATTAGCAGATATGGAACCATGATATTGTTTATAAAAAAAAGATCAAATGGAATGTTTCTAGATCATCCAATGAAAACATCTGATGGATGTCCCAAGAGAAACATCTCTGGGATATCGTACCTAAGTCTGAAACATTGGGACATTTGTAGGACCTTAGCGGGATGTACCAGCAAGATCCCGTGTTGTTAGGGATCCCATCAGTATTTTCCGTAAGTTGAGAATCGTTTCAGGCAAGAGGGAAATCGAGAGGCAGAACAGAGGTTCATCATAAATGAGGAGACTGAGATTAACGTTCTTGCTATGGTTGAAGTTGACAAAACGGTTTCTTATTAAGAGAAATGAGTCGAGAAATGCAGATAAGTCACGAATCAGCAAAGAAAAAATTTAGTAGGCATAGAAACTTTCGAAGATGTCACATTCTGATCTAGAATTGTCTCAGAAATCCAAAAATGTTACAATATACAGGGTGTTCTATATAAAAATTTAGAACCGGAGCCATTTCCGGTCAAACCGGAAGTGACCGGGAAGTGAAAAATATGTGAAAACTCTCCTTTTCACATACCATCAACCTATACCAAATCTCATTCTGATACACCTTATGGTCTAGAAGTTATGACTTGTCTAATAGATTCGTTGACACCCAGTATATGTCTAATATATGGACACCATATGATTGTCCATAATGGTCACTGAATGGATGTCCATCATAGATAGCGCATGTATGTCCTGAAATGTGGAAAGCTGATATCCTATGGACATCCATAAGATGTCCTGTGTACACAAAGTAGTTCTTCTATTGATATCCAGGATGTCCTATTGGGGATATCCATTGAATGCCCAATGGATAGAGGAATGTTAATGGCGAAATTGTGTCAGTTTAACAGAATAATCCTCCCACTTCGCGGTCGGATTATTTCAACTGTCAAACTGGCACTCTTTGTGATTATTCAATATTACCTTCCTGTAAGCAATTCATGCATCAGGATGCCCAGAGCCCAAAAATCCACTGCCTTATCATGCCCTTTGTTCAGAATCGTTTCTGGTGCCACGTAATCGGGAGTGCCACAAAAAGTCCAAGTTTTGCTGCTGTATCCCAGCCGCTTGGAGAATCCGAAGTCGGTGAGTTTGACGTATCCTCGAGCGTCAAGCAAGAGATTTTCCGGTTTCAGATCCCTGTGGCACAAAATGAAAAATATATAATACAATAAACACAATCAGGAATGTACAGGGTGAGCGGATCGCGATATCTCAGATCATTTTTGAAATATCTTACAGCAAACAAATTCTTTGATGGTTTATATCACAGAATATCATTGTATAAAAGGTATGTGTCATACATATATTGAGGAATATTAACTATGTATACAGTGAGGACGTAAAAAGTCCTCCCCGCGCCACAAGCTTGCGAGGTCGGGTGAAATTAAAGAAAAAAGGGTCCTCTTTCACTACTATTTGGCATGAAAATGGTTGTGGTCACGTGACCTAGTGTCAAGTGGAAAGTGTACTTGTTGAAATACTTTGAGGAACTAAGAAAGACGTCTACTCTTTGGCCACAATTACAATGTGGCATAGTGCCATATTATGAAATGAATAGCAATAAGCTTCATTACTCGGATTCTTTGAATAGGTGCAGTTATAGAAAAAGAATAGTGTGCAACATGTGGGGAAAACCACTTTCCTCACTCGGGGTGTTTGCATCACTCGCCCTTAAGGCTCGTGCCACAAATTTTCACACTCGTGAGAAAAGTTTGACTTTTCCCACTTGTTGCACAATATACTATTCTTGCTTTTGCATGAACAAATTCATTTACAATTTTCGCAGAGTCTAATTTCCAAAAAATTTCGTTTTCAATGGCAAGCAATGCCTTTGAATCCAACATTTCTTCTGACATTGTGGATCGCAAATAGTTTTTAACTCTTTCCAGCACAGAAAAGGGTCTTTCACCGCTGCAATTTGTCACAGCAGTGCTTACGTGCATTCTAAGGGTGATTTCGCAATCTGGAAAAACTCCTCTCATACTTGGTGCCCTTGAATATTCTAGAAACTCGATCAGAGAATCGCATATTCTGGATGTTTCTTTGAGCTATATGCATTCGTTCTCCAGTATACCCTCTTCCAAACAATGAATTTTGATTTCATCATCACTCAACAAATGTAATTTAACAAACAAGCCAAATTGTCGATTGGCAGTTTCATAAGCCATTTGTCTCTTACTTAATTCGTTTTTCAATATATCGATCAATTGGATGAATACATCAATCCGAAATTTGTGTATTCTACATTCCGACTTTCTTTAAATGCTACCATTTATGAGATTTTTACTATTTCATGAACTATGATTTTGCGCCCCTCAAATCTTGGCGCCCGAAGCGCTCGCTTCTTTTGCTTCCTGATTAAGCCGCCTCTGCGCTTCTTCCAGTAATTCGATGGAATTTTGAATATTGAAGCAACACCTACAAGACACCATGCTTCTACCATCCACCCATCAATCATCCTTACTACGAATATACAAACCAGATACATGCAAGGACACCATTCTGCTGCAATATTTAGAGATATAATTGAAGCTTCTGATAGCATTTAGCACAAATAAGAGCTCCAACATAAACTGCTCCTTTCCAATTGTCCAACATATCTAATTAGGATAATCAAAATACTACTTTTGAAACCGCCAGAACATAATTAAAATCAACTCCGTATTCTCAGACCCATTAAGTGTATCACAGGGAGTACCGAGTACCAAAGGGCTCACCTGTACTCTGTAGCTCCCTTCCTGTAAAATATTTTTTGCATCATATCAGTTCTTGTAGATAGTTAGGTCATTATTTTCAATAAACTGGATATACTTTCAAGTCAATATTCGCATGTTACCTACTTTAAAACTGCATTTCATTCAGTTCATTAGAGCTACTCTTTTCTGGCGTGGAACTTTAACGATAGAATTATTCAACTTCTTTGATATAACCCGAAACTCGAATCAATGAAATGAGAAGAAAGTGAAAAAACTAAGAGTCTTATTTTATGTTAGTGAGTTGATTATTACCTGTAGATTATTCCTCTAGAATGTAAATAGTCGAAAGCTTCTATCACACAGCCAACAATGAATCGAGTAATATTATCGTCGAAACAACTCCTGTCTCTCAAAATGGTCCACACTTCTCCACCAAGGCAAGCCTCCAGAAGCATGTATACGTACTTCGAATCTCGGTATGTTCTATACAACCTAAAAAAATAAAGTATAAGGTAAGTTGCATCTATCTAATTCAGTTCAGTTTGTTTCATTATTCTATAAAGCAACCCACTAAACATGATACATAACAAAGATATTTTCGAATATAAGTTTTGTGATGTTGTTGAAATAACATTGCTGTAATGAAGTGTTTTTGACCAGCTTCATTACTAGACTGGTTTTGATTAATATCTAAGTAACCTGAGACTGATTCTACTTGAATTTCACTTGTTCGAAAGCTCGAAACCTGAAATCCTGAGAGAGCTAAATAATTCATCGATTCCTGACTTTCCAAAGCTTTTCCTGGTAGTGAATTCTGATCAACATCATAACAACCCTAAAGACTCCAATATGTTTCAAACCCTCGCTTATGATATGAAGTTTGGATGAATTATTTATCAGTTGAAATGATGAATGTTCACCTGGTCATAACTTTTTTGTTATTGGATATTTTTCAGTCAAATTCATTCAGTTGCAATAGCAAGGGTAGTAGATTCTGTTCCTGATGTGCCCATTTTTGTAAGTTTAAGACAATGTGCTTTTGGATGACAGTTCCTGCTGGCATAGTTGAGGATTCTGACCAATAAGAATCTTGGATTGAGCTGTCCTTGAACGGAGGTCGATGGAAAGTATAAATACTGAAGACAGCTAAGGTATCTCTCTCTACTCTACTCTCTACTCTACACTACCTGCTCTACGTTCTACACTCTCTGCTCTTCAGGCTCTTGGCTCTTTTCTCCGGGTTCTCTTGCTGATCTCCTAGTGCTCTCATATGTCATTCAAAGCCAGTGTAAAGTATTATTGTATAGTGATTTTCTGTTGCACATGTAAGTTTGTATAATATTTTTCACCATTATTATTATTATTATTCATTAATTATTATTATTATCCTGTTCATAGATTCATTTCATTCCTGTTGTTTTTCATACCGATACTCACCTGACCTGTGTAAAGAATCCAGAAATCTGTATTTGCGAATAAACGGTTTTTTGTGATTGCATATTCCATATTTCCTTCTCTATCATCATTGTTTTCAGTTCCGAAAAGTTCCAATGATTAATTCAATGATTTTCAATATTTTTATTTGCCAAATTGCTCATTATTATCATCGACTGACGACTGACACTGACAAACCAGTTGTCAATTCTCCTTCTTCTTATCTTTTCCTTAAGCTTTCCAGTCCTGTGCACCGGTGTTTCGGTGCTTTGTGTCCTGTCAGGCGGTGGCCTGTGGTTCATGAAATTTTGACATGAATGGAAAATTACAATCAACCTCACTAAAATTCTGATATTAAAAAATTAGGAAATCGGAATTTAATTCGTTTGGAACTGAGTTTCCGATTGTCCAGGTAGACGTTATAAAATAATTTGAATAAATAATTTTTCTGGCCTAACCTAAAAATACCAGAGACCCGAAAGATATTCGCTTTGATACCTGTAATTAGAGTCCCTGTATGTATTTGACACTTTTGCTGTAATAAGAGTACGGACACTATGACAAGCAGTGACAGAAGGCATAACCCTAAAAAATTTGAAATGACATGAACAATTTGGCGGGCACTGACAGTTCATGAACGTACATGACATTAAATTATTTGAAAATTCAGGTTTTCAAAAATTAAAATGTCTCATTGTGTAGTGGAGAATTGCAAAAATGGAAGCGAGTCCTTTCATTTATTCCATTTCCCCCATTCTAACCAACAACAGTTACAGAAATGGAAAGAAAATATGAAGCGGCCACTATGGAAATTGAATTCAGGTAGCAAGTTTTGCGAAGTAAGTAGGTACTCAATATTTGAATTTTTCGATTGAATATGATGCATATTCGAAGGAATAATATCATTTATAATTTCAATGTTAACATTATAGGTGCACTTCAAATGTGAAGATTTCATAGTGGAACATAGCATCAAATTGAAAGAAAATGCGGAGCCTTCATTCCATCATCAGAAGGATTATCGAAGACATTCCTTATCGAATTCAGGACAATTTTTACGAGGAAAAATTCGAGTAGAATACCAAGATGAAATTAAATGTATTTTGGATCACAAAAAAGAAATTATCGAAGATTCAAAGAGAAGATATGCCGAAATTCAAAATTTATTAATAGTTAATGATGGAAGATACAGAAAAAAAATCAGAGAAAAGGACGAACATTTGAAAAATAGCTTGAAGCAAAGAGATTCTGAAACAAGACTGCAAGTTACGAATATTCACAACTATTATGAGGAAATAATTTTAGATCTTCAACTATCTCATCAAAAATCTTTGGAAGAGTGTGAGGAAACTGCTAATGCAAGAATACAGGCAATTTTGAATCGACCCAAGACCCAAATTGATAGATTCGGAATATATTTCAACCAAAATTATAGTCAATTCCAGTATGGGGTAATATGGCAATATGATATTACTATGCATTTTTACTTGTAATCTTTTGCTGTGTGGAAACATGGCAACGAGCGACTCTGGACACAAAAATATATTGTGTAAGCTCTAACGTGCAGCCATCGTCTTTCAGCTAGGCGCGATGGTTACTAGATTGTGAGCATTTAAATTTTATGTTGCCATATTACTCCACTTTACTCTACCATTATTTGAAATTTTGTATTCTTGTCATTGCATGGATATAATATTCTTGAATTATAATCAATATACTTGTATTTGTCGAATTTTCTGATCGTTCATGCCCTATGAAGTGTCTTAGTATGTTATGAGAACAAATATAAGTTTGTTAATTGGTTGAATTGTTCTTCCCATTCATTTATATTCTGCCCATCAGAACTGGATACTAAATCCTGACTCTATCTATTGAAAAAGTGTGCATTCTAAAATCAAATAAATTGAAGTACATATACCATTTGTTAAGTATATCGAGAAATACTTTCAACAAATTGATTTACAAACTATGACCCCTTTTCGCCAGTGAGATGAGACGCCACTTCTTTATGAAAATAAAGACAGAGAAAGATATATGGATGTACCCTTCACCGCGGCAGTAGAGGATAGAAGATCCGAAGTGCATGGAAAAGCATATCCATGTCTTTGTTCAAAAGTCATTTTGAGAATTTGGGGTTATGCCTTCCGTCACTGCTTGTCATAGTGTCCGTACTCTTATTACAACAAAACTGACAAATATATACAGGGAATTATACATACAGGGACTCTACCTGTAATTATCCAGACTAAAAATAGCAACCAGTATTTCAGGCTGAACCCAGGGTTTGTAATTGAAGCCTACACTCCCTTGGCTCCTTATTAATTCCAGGTCGATTCAATAACATTGACCCCTGGTTTATACTCTGTAGGTACCAGGGTAGGTATACCTCCTGTACCTTTCTCTACTGTTGCTACTCTGGGCCCTGTACAAAAATATTTCGTGCAGAGCAGGTAGAGTAAACTACCTCATGAACAATCTGGCGCCCGAGACCCCCGTCAAATACCAGAGTAGTCTCCGTCCTGAACGGAGCGCCAAAGTAAGGGCCGCAGAAATAATTGCCGTTACATTGCGATAATGTCCTTCTGAAGTATCCTACATAATATATTATGAGGTAAAACGTTCATGAGACCTCGCATCATTATTGAAATCAATATTATTAGACAATATTGTAATATGTTGATTTAAGGTTCTTCAGATATATCTCAGACAGAGTTGTTATGTTTCACCACCTTATAACGTAGCTTACATGTATACAGTTTAAAAGGGGATCACATGTTCTCCTAGGCAAAGTATCCTTGTCAACTGTCAAAAGTTAATTCAATTCCATTCCAGCCATTTTGTTCGTTAACTATCATGGTGAGCAGGTCAATCAGTGTGATCACTGAACATATTGTTTTTCAGCTATTATTCATAGTTATCAGAATAAGTTAGAAACTAAACAAGTCTTGGACTGAAACAAATTCGAATGAAAATATGAATTGCTCATGATACCTACCCACTTAGATTCAAGGAGTGCTCAGCTGGAATAAAGAAATACAACCAATCTGTATCTATATTCCATAATATGTGAAAAAGTAGGAATGATTCGTAAATACGGATTGTTTTCATATTTCACAAATAATGGGTGAGTCATATATGCCATACCTAGGAGCAGCACATAGTCAGAATAGAATTTCAAAATCAGCCAGGAAACTTCTGAAGAGTCATGTTTATATTAATTTATTACTTTTCAGAATTCAAGACATGATGGTCCAGTAAAAGATCACTGGATTATATTACATATGTTAGGTATGACTGGATTTATAGAGCAGAATACCTAAAATGATAGGTACTAGATAGTAGTTTATCTGTCTCAAAATATCACTTTGTGACTGGACCATATACTTATAATCTTTCAGGAGTAGGGCAAGATCGATCAACACAGTTATATTTTAGGAATAGACCATCTTTCCTGTCTCATCTGGATATCATTCAGATGATTCTCTCTATAAAAGGGGTAGTTCAATCAATGATATTTATATAAGTAGTTATAAATTGTAACATTTCGTATAAACTTTAGCGACTAGCATGACTCAAATTGTGAAACAATAATAAATGTATTTTGTGTCACTCTGTAATTGAGCAAGCGTCTTGTTTGTCTGTTGGGCGTCCTCACGAATTAAATGAATAAATAAAATTGGAAAAGAAGTAATCACTCAAGTGAATCAGTGATATTAGATCAGAATCGATTAGAAGCCACGAAAGCTATATTTATTAAAAATGCCTTTTTACGAATCTACCGCATTAATGCCTGATCGGTTTGATTATCACTAACACGCAAACAAAAATGAAGAAATGGTTATGATATACTTCCAACATCTAGCTTGATCAGTAAGAAAGGGTAGCAATCAACTATCACAAAGAAACGCTAGTGTAGTGTACTGACACAGAATACTCAACTGATTCACACAGGGAAAACTCAAGATATACTTCTGCATCTTTGGAATGTTATGCCTTTTGGAGGGTATCATTATTTTTTTTGTGTGGAAACTATTCATTATTGGTCAAAACGGCTCACATATCCCAATCTCAACTTCTGATTCACTATTTACTGATATTTATTCGGAACAGATGGAGAGTGGTTCAAAATTAGGAATGCTGATATGTAACATTGCAGTGATATTGTCCGTAGTTAATTCATGTAATCTTGCAATTTCAATGATAATACTTGGTTAATGCAATATTGCTATTGAAACTGAAATGAAAGGGCGGCTTTGTAACTTACAAACAATTTGTGAGTAGTTTTTTTTGTTACATTGTCAACACGAATATAGCAGCAAAATTGATACAATATTGTATCTTCATATTACGGAAGAAAGCTTTACAATATATTGTGGCAATATTTTGTAACATGTAACATGTTTAGTGAGCTAATATTTCCATTAATACTTTGCTTAGAGTTGCATTTGTAGAATCTTTTCATCTCGCATTCATATATTCAATCAATCTCTCACCTGCATATGAAAGGACTTCGACAACCCATCATGATACTTCTTTCGCTGTAAATATGCTCTTGCTGTTGTGTATCGACGATGTGTTGTTTCTTGAGACACTTGAGAGCGAAGGTGAATGACGGGTCTTTGGTGTATTGAACCAGCTCCACTCTTCCAAATCCTCCTAATCCTAACGTGGCCACAACTTCAAGATCATCCAGGGTGATGTATTCATATTCTGAAAAAATTGTCCACTTAACAAAGCTATCGATTGCATATTGCATTGATCTTGAAAATATTGTTATTCAACATTTCATGCGTGTCAGGCATCCATGTCGATTTTTATGTGTTCGTCATTCTCATGTTTCATATTTTATCATATCGATAGTCTAATAATCAATTACCCAGACAGCACTGGATATTCCTAGAATATTCTCTCAATATGCTTGAAAGGAGGAATATATTCCGAATATTCATCGATTATTCCTAGACCATATACATGCCTCTGGAACATCTAAAAGGAATATTCCAAAGTGAATAGTCGAATATGTTCAGGGAATATTCAAATGAATATTCTCTCTTGTATATTCATGAAATATTCCCAACTGAATGTTCTGTGGGGAATATTCATGAAATATTCCCAACTGAATATTCTGTGCGGTATATTCATGAAATACCCTAACAACACAGGGATGTCCTAGGTACGTCCCTTTTTTGTCCCGCGGTACAAGGACATGATTGAGACATCCAGGGGATGTCTTGTAGTGGTGGTCTGGAATATCTGATATCCATTCACATAAGGTCATTGAATTTCATGAAACTATTGAGTTGAATTTTTTTGAAAATGTTTGTTTCTTTTCCGGAAAATGATTGTAATGAAAATAAAGAATAAAGTCTCAGAACTTCTTAAGAAATTACCATTTTTCGCAGACAGAAATCGTACATGCATAATGCCCCTTATTTTTAAACACCCTAGAATGATAATAATTATACCCAATTCCTAATAAAGTTGTATTTATTCAGGTTTCTGTACTGTTTATAAATCTGTTTAGTACATAAATCTTCAGGAGGCATGATAGCCAATGGAGCAAGGTGCGTGCATGATAAGCCAAAGGTCCCGGGTTCAATCCCTACTCGACCTGCAACTTTTTTCTTTTGTCGAAAGGATGTCCCTGGGATATCCTTGGGACGTCCTAGGGATATCCTTTCATCGTACTTGGTACATCCCAGGGACGCACCAGAAGGACATCCCTTGAATGCCTTTTTTAGCGGCCAGCGGATGTCCCTGGGACATCCCTAGTTTGTACGTTGTCCCGACAAAGGACATCCCTGGGATGTCCTAGTATAATATCAGGGGCGTCCATGGGAAGTCCCTAGGATGTACTGGTGTTGTTGGGGTATTCTCAACTGAATATTCTGTGGTGTATATTCATGAAATATTCCATAAATATTCCTATGTTTCTCAACACATAAATACCAATCATTACTTCAGAGATGTGAGTATAGAACATCAATTAGATGTAAAGAGATTTTGAAACAAAAAGTGTTTATGATCCGATTTAGAACAACACTCTCACAAGAAATTGATATGTACACCATTATTCAATTCGATTACTAGCCTAGTGGTCAAGGCGTTGCTCTGATAGTCTTGTGGTCACGAGTTTGATCCCTCTACTTGGGGCACTTTTTTCATTTTAGAATATGTTTATTGGAATATTCCAGGAACATTCAACATAGAATATTCTTTTGGACAGTGAAAGAGCGCTGCTCTCTGCTTCCTGCAGTTAGTGCGAACTCTCTGCCTTTTGTCAACATTTGATGTAACACGGACTTTTTAGTTCAAATTATTTGTTTTGTCTATTGTTGACAAAAAGCATTATTATTATTATTATTATTATTATTATTATTATTATTATATATTCTATGAATATCTGAGGAATTCCCATTCGCATATTTGAAGAATATTCCACAGCTATTCCGGAATATTTCAGATCATTTCTAGAATATTCCAATATTCCAAAAGGAATATGATAGGCAGATTCATGGAATATCTGGTGCTGTCTGGGATAAACCAAGCCATCATACTGCAATATTTCTAATTCAAATGACACTCCTTGTGTACTTGGTGAAGCTCAAGGGCGGAGATGTTAAAAAAAAGGTACAGTGATGCCCAATATATAAGTAACGACTCTTGTGAAAATCCCTTTAAAAATTCGGTGTATGCACCCGGACTAATATCTATTAAAGCCGCTTGCTGTTTCAATAACTTATTTCTTATTGTGGTTTGTGGTACGAGATTGTCAGGTGTATCTCTGAATATTTCTAAGATTTCGGGCTAATATTCACATCGCCAGAGTAATATTTTCTACTTCTAATGAAGCTGACTAAAAAAAAAAACTGACCAGCATCATCATCGATATTCATTGTTCGATTCTAGTTGATATGAAATAGATAAAGAACTTGTTGAATATAAAGCGGTATCGGTATAATTTCTTTTTCAAATAAGAGTCTGTCTTTAGTGTATCCTTCAATTATTTTTCCTCGAAATCATATTTCTTGATCGTTCTTAATATACATTTTTCTCTGAATTTGATGGTTTTGCGAAGAGAAAACGGTATACACCCTATTAACTTGAAACGCGATTATCTACTTCCAGGAATTCTAATTTTCATTTATTTCGAGTGTCTCAAAAACGCGCAGCGACAAATAAATTCTTCTTTTTTTAATGGGATACCTTGAATATTATTGCATTCTCAGATTCTACGATTCTAAGTTTGTTAGATTTTTTTTATATGACAAAAGTTTATAGTTTCGGAATTATGAACAATAATTATTGTAAATTGATATTTCGACTATTTCAATACCAGTTCAGTGAGGAAACATTTGGAATAGTATAGCACTGACAAATATAGCCATTTTCATTCGTCTCTAAACCTACCATACATATTTTATTTTCTGAGTGGTCATCGCTCCGAAAAATTCGATGGTTTTGCGGTTTTCAACCTCACACACTGTAATTAGGTTTGTAAATTCTAGCAAAAATCAGGAAATCTCATTAGAAACGTTTTTCGAGAAGTATGTGTTTATACTTATATTTATTTCAATCAATGTTGATTAAAATATCAAACGTGAGTAGTATGCTGTCGTAGAACTGGTAAAAATAAAAATTAGTAACGAAACATATTTTTTCATCTCTTGAAACGTTCGAACCTATATTCGTTCTATATAAATAGTGTTTGTTTAAATACTATAACTCTTCATCTATATTTTTTGATATTCGTAGTTTCCTAGATCTAGTATTATAGACATAATACTTGAATTCGTGATTTAGTGATTTATAAGATCTGAAAATTCAGAGACGTAGGTATGTATTAAATATTCTTAGTTCTTAGTTTTCCTCCAAAGAAATATGTATACTAATATCACAAAACAATTAATAATCATCAATCTACAACGTGACTTGTCTACCTATAGAGTGAAGAAATACGAAATAATACTTGTCGGTCTGTCGCTTGATACTTCCTGTAAATTAACATAAACTTGTAGACCAATGCCTTTAAAGGCTCGACTCTAATTCATAGAGATTTGTGGTTTATTCAAATTTCATTGGTTTACACATAATTCACCCTTTGAAGGACAGGATTTGATAATTATGATTCGATTTTCATATCATTCATTAGTCTATTTCGTTCTGATGAGATATTTGTGAATTCGTGATATTTTTATAATTTCAAACTTTGCTATTGTTGTTGGAAATATCTCATCATTTGAGTGATTACCAAAAATCGAGTATTTTAACCAAATTGAATAATGGTTGGTCTAATATAAGGAGAGTTTGGGACGAACTTCCTGACGATTTGGCGTAGCACTCGATTGAACCGGGAGTGAGTAGAACTTCCTTATTTATAATGGACCATCACAAATTTCTTCATAATTTCGATTCATTTTTATTATTCTATGATATAAACCGTGATAACATTATTTAATTCATATTTTGAAGCGTTCAGCATTAATATTTTTAGAAATGTATTATTTTCAACAGTGACATTTGAACATTTTGATTGAAATTTCATTGCCAGATAGAGATTCATTCCGATCAATTGATCATATACAGTGTGTCCACTGTAATAGCGTACCACCCCTGTAAAATCGTTATGATATGATCGATTCTGAAAACATTGTTTTTATTGGATAGGTATTTGGAATTCTCATCCAACAAGAAAAATTATTTTATTCTTGTTGGACTGTTTCCATGGCTAACTGTGAACAATTTTATTGAACCATACTTCAAAAAATACAATGAGGGATTTTTTCACTAAGAATACCGATGGATTTTGCATCAGGGTATTTCAAAACATACCTATACCAATTTTCATCATCAAAAAACATAGGGTGTTCCAAAGAACGATTTATTATTATTTTTTAATACTCGATCAGAAGATTTAGTATACTATGGCATAATTGGGTAATGACAAATTATTATTGAGGACCTACTTCAAACATATCTGTACCGATTTTTAGAATAAGTAGGCAATATTTTTTATCATGATAGTTCTTTTCCTAGATAGTAATGACGGATTCTCATTCAAGATCACTCGGAACATACCTGTACTGATTTTCATCATCATAAAACGTTTTTTATCTTCACATTTATGTATATTTGAATGATAATAATCAAGACCAATATGTTTGAAGTCCTCAATATTAATTCGACATCAGTTCTTCCCAAAAATACCACAGTACCTACTATATTTTCTGATCAAGTATACAAAAAAATAGTAATCCGTATTTTCAGACACCCTATACTTATATGTTCTATGATGATGAAAATCTGTACTGGTTTATTTTGAGTGATCTCCGTACCGAATCCATCATTAGTTTCAGTGAAAAAAAGCTTAAATAGTAATTTTTGAAATATGGGTCAATAAAATTGGTCGCAGTTGGCGACGATAAAAATTTAAGAATACCATAACTTTTTTGTTGGATGGATATTTCAAATACCTACACAACATAAAAAGTTTTTTGGAATCGATAAAATAATACGGATTTTACAGGCGGTGGTAAATTCTTTAAGTGAACACAGTATATATAGCACGCGGTCACCGAACATAACACAACATTATACCAAAATGTTTGATGTGTATTTTTGACTGTGTTTTCGATAATTCTTCTTTATAGCTGATCGATATTTCTTTGTGCTGATAGATTCAACAGTATAAAATATAATTTTGGTTTTTA